AGGTTGGATGGGGGTTGGTGGTGGATTCCTCTGTGTATGGGGAGGACTACAGGCACACGACCCAACTCTCCCTTAAGCAGTGCTCATAGGGAAGGCAGGGAGCTCCAGCCTACAGCGGACCAGCCATGCCATAGACCCACCTGGAAGGAAGTTTAATGCCATGCCAATTTTTTTTTTTATAGGATGTAGAATAGAAGGAAAGGGAAAGAGAGGGGGTAGAGCATGGACATCTCTCCCCGCCCTCCTCTATACCTCCTCCCCCTGGGGTGTGCGTAAAAAAAAATAAAAACACCTCTTGTAAGAGGGAGGAGGAGGAGGTCGTGCAGTTCCTCTTGCTGTTTGCCAATATGGCTTGAGGACTTTGAATAGGTAGATCGCTTTCAAGAGTGAATGGAGAGAAAGGTTGGGGGAGGGGATGGTTCAAGGCTGTAGTATGATCACCATACACCAGGCTGCATCGGCCGACGTGCACCGCAGCAAAAAAAAGTGATGGGGATCCTCCATGCAATCGCTTGGCAAGGAGTAGAGAAAGGGGGGTGTGCCATGCCAACACATGCATGGGCTTCTTTTTTTTTTATACCCGCTACCCTTTTCTCTTTTTTTTTTTTAAATGTATAAATCTCCGAATGCAGCTCTCCCCTCATTGAAGATGATTGGAAGCGGTAGAAGGCGCTGGCCCCCAGGGGTAGTACACACGGAGCACGGATTCTGCGCCTCGCTCACACAGCCATTCATAATTTTTCCCCCCCTCTGCATTTGTAAGAAATAACAATGGTGGCTCTGTGGGGGGAGGGGAAGAGGGAAGGGAAGAGTCAGCCTCTAGTAAAAACAAAATGTTGAGTGGAGGTGCAAGAATCTCCCCCACTCAGATGAAAGCTTCCTTTTTTGGGGTTCTTTTCATGACACGAGAGAAACCCTCAACTTGCCACATTCTGTCTCACTTGTTGCAGATATAGTTTCAGTAGGTCGACTTAGGAAATCTGTAAGTATCCATTCCGGTTTCTACTGCTAGGGTGAAGCTTGTGGAGTAAACAGCATGCAGCTATGGTATGTGTGTGTGCTACAAGCCTTGTACATAGGGGGGAGAGTGCTGGGGTCTAGCTGCATCACGTCTACTGGCAGGACTGCTACATTGTATTTAATGACACATGATAGTGAAATGAGAAATGTTTCCCTTTATTAGCTCTTTCCACAAAAAAAACATGTGTACATTGCATGTGTACATGTAAGATATTCCATTGGGTGTGTGATTTTTATTTTGTGTTTAAGGAATGTTGTTTTACTATCCTATAAATATACACTTCTATGTCAGTGTGATTCTACCAATGTGTATATTGATGGGTTTCATCTAGGACTATACTGCTGTGTTTAACCATGTGTTTTCCTGTGTGCACATACGTGTTCTGCCTACACACGTAGATGGATGCCTTTTGTGTTTTTAGCTACAGTTTTTGTTTTTGCTTTATTTATTCCTTTCAATCCAACATCTCTATACGATTCTTCAGGTTCCTCTTCTATGAACTGTAATCAGTGAAATCATTAAAAGTTTAGTATTTTTACAGCTGCTGTAGAGGGGATGTGGAGTAGCACCATGGGCAGCCTATAGGCCTTGGTACACATTCTGTACGCTGGAAAGTAATTAGGTGATGAACAAAATGAGAACACGGGATGGGGAATGAGAGGTTACTATTATTTTGTAAATATGTATTTTCTTTGTAGCAAAAAAAAAAAAGTTTGCAGAGAAAATGTTCCTGTTACTGAATATTTCACAATAAAAACAATAGTTTGCTGATTTCAGGGTCAGTGTTTTCTATCCATAAATCATACATCCAGAGCTGGGGCGTACACAATACCTGAGGTCATTTCATGTATGTATGTATGTAGGGAGAAGAAGGTGTGGTTTAATGACAGCACAATATGAAATGTTTTCTACCGTTTATTATTCAATACATGAATAGAATGTGTACATCTAATAACTACATACCTAGATAATGTTGTGTACATCTAATATATGCATTTATAATGCAGTGTGCATCTAATAAATAATGCTGTGGACATCTAATGCATAGAACATGCAGTGTACATCTAATAATACATAGAGCATGCTGTATACCTCTAATACATAGATAAATGCATATATAATGCTGTGTACATCTAATAAATGCATAGTGCATGCGTACATCTACTAATAGAGCATGCTGTGTACATCTAATACATAAATAAATGCATATATAATGCTGTGTACATCTAATACATAAATAAATGCATATATAATGCTGTGTACATCTAATAGATGCATATATAATGCTGTGTACATCTAATACATACATATATAATGCTGTGTAATCTAATAATTACATCTAATAGATAAATACGTAGCTAATGTGGTGTACATCTTATAAATACATAGAGCATGCTATGTACATCCCATAACTACATAGACCATGCGGTGTAGATCTAATAAAGCCATGCCTAGATCATGTTGTACACAACATACTCTATGTACCCAACATGTTCTATGTATTTATTAGATTAACAGAACATGCTCTATATGTATTTATTAGTTGTATTAATCTAATACATACATGGATCATGTTTTGTACATCTAAAAAGTACATACAGCTTGGTGTGTAGTACATCTAATACATGCATAAAGTATGTTGTATAAATCAAATAAATGCACAGATCATGTTCTGTACATCTAATAAGTACATAGAGCATGCTGTGTACTTCTAGTACATGCATAGATCTTGTGGTGTATGTCTAATAAATACACAGAGCATGCTTTGAACATCTAATACATGCACAAAGCATGTTGTGAAAATCTAATAATCCAACACACAGATAATGTTATGTATATCTAATAAGTACATAAAGCATGGTGTGTACATCTTAAAAGTACATACACCTTGATGTGTACATCTGTTACTTGTGTATATCATGTTGTATAAAGCTAATAAATACTTAGATCATGTTCTATACAGGATGTTGTATAAATCTAATAATTACATCGAGCATGTTGTGTACATCTGATAAATGAATAGGGCATTTCAAAAATAAAGAAATCTAATAAATGAACAGATCCTGTGTGCATCTAATAAAAGCATAAAACATCTAATACAAATAGATCATGAATACATTAATAAATATATATGACATTAACAGATCATGTATACATGTAATACACAAATAAGTATATAGCCTACATTCATAGATTATGTGTACATGTGATAAATTAATAGCCATGTTTTCATGTAGTAAGTGAATAGGGCATGTGTGCATGTAATAAAGGAATAGATCATGTGTGCATGTAATAAAGGAATAGATCATACACATGTATAATAAAGGAATAGGTCATGCACATGTGTAATAAAGGAATAGATCATGAACACGTGTAATAAAGAAATAGATCATTCACATGTATAATAAAGAAATAGATCATGCACATGTGTAATAAAGGAATAGATCATGAACACGTGTAATAAAGAAATAGATCATACACATGTGTAATAAAGGAATAGATCATGCACATGTGTAATAAAGGAATAATTCATGTGTGCATGTAACAAAGGAATAGATCCTGTGTATGTAATAAAGATATAGATCGTGTGTATATATAATAAAGGAATAGATTATATGTACATGTAACAAATAGATCACACAATAAAGGAATGGATCATGTAGAAAACATGGCTGTGTCCATGTCTGCCATGTAATAAGTGACTAGAACATGCTATCATTCTGCTGAGGTGTAGTTTTGTCTGCAGTGTTTATTGTGGACACATTTATAAACAATCCTCTGTGTGTGTCTCTCTCTCTCTCTCGATGTAACAATCAGCTGACATATGGAGAGGATCGGGGACACGTCCGCTACTCTCAGCACACACACTCATTAAGAACGATATTGGACACCCCAATCGGGTACATAAAGATCTGCTGGCAGAAGGCCCCGGGCTCAGGCACAAGCCATGTTTGCAGCATGTGAGTGCAGAGTAATGGTGCCGCTACAGGAAAAGGGGTGTGTGCGCTCCGCACTGCTCCATGCACCTGAGGACAGATATGACAATGAGAAGGCTGGCATTGGATGTACACGGGGGAGGGGAGAGGGTCCAGCCTCTGCATCCTTCCCCGGGCCGGGATCAGTCAAGTCAGCAGAAAGTAGGTTGCAGCTGCTGCGGCAGAAGGAGCGGCCGGCGTGTGTAGTGAACGGTAGTAGGCGATGTATAGTAGAGTGCGGCATCGAGTGCCAGTGTGAGTAAAGCGTCTCTTTTCATGGCCGCTGATTGGCTGTCAGCTGTCCTGCTAGCCACTCCCCGCAGCCTCGTTCGGGTCCCCAGCGCTGGCTGACGGGTTTGTTTCCTTCGCTCTTCTCATTCATTGGCTTCCCCGCGCTCCCTATTCTTGCGCCTCTGGCGCCAAGTCAGCCTCCCCCTCCCCCTCCGCTCACTCTCCATACTACACCGCCGCTCTACCGTGCCCTCATTGTTCCCAAAGATGAGCGGGGTGGTGAGGGTTAAAGGGGGCGGGCGCTCTATACGTTCACAGTTGTGTAAGATAATTGTTGCCAGGAAAATGTGCGCCGTGCTATGCGGGCGGCCCGTGCAAGGCTCTGTGTCAGCGCCGTCCCCGGGGCACGGTGGGAGCACTATGTGAGAGCGGGGATTCCCGAGGCACCCCCTCCCCCACACATAAACAGGAACACGTGGCGACCGGAGGGCTGAGGTGTCGGAGGTACACAAAGCACGGACCGACATGACTGATGCCGAGTCTGTGATCAACCCTGAACCTCATGTATATTCATTGCATAGGGAACATTCAATGACTGCCAC